AAGTTTTAAAATTCAAATTTTTAATTTTTTTTTGTTTTCTATATTATTTTGACTACAATTGTTTTTATATATATTTGAGCATATATAGAATAATACAAAATATTATATACATTTACTTTGTGTTTTTGTGATATAAAAAATACAAAATTAATAATTTAATAAAATGGAAAATATTTGTAGCGGCGGCTAAATCAGGAACCGCTGTAGGGGTGGCTGGATTAGAAACCGCTTCTACAAATTCATTTGTAGGGCGGCTAGATCAGGAACCGCCTCTACAAATTATCCTGGGTATATAAGCACGGACGCTCGGGTGAACAAGTGTTGGGCGCTCTCTTCTTCCTCCCGACGACGTCAGGCTGCCCAACTTTTTCCCCGGCACCCACGGTGCTCCCGCTAGGGTTTTAGAGCCCGAGCGCCTCGCTCCGCGCCGCCAGCCCCACTGCCCTCCCCCACCTGGTATCAATCTCACTCTCCACCCCAACCCTGGTGGATCAACGGCGGCTCCCATGCCCTAACCACTGGGACCTGCTTCAACTGCTTCCTCCACGGCGGCGCGCTCCACCTCTTCGAGTATAGCGTCCCCGTGGCCTCCCTGCTCCCGCTGCACCCCTCCCCACTACGCCTCTCTGCTCCCGCGCTGCGCCCCTCCGCACGCCGCTGCACACGCCGCCGCCTCGGTTGAGCCCACCCGACGGCCGCCCGCCCCTACCCGTGCTCGAACGTCCGCCCGGCTGCTGGGCGAAGGTCCCGCGAGCACCCTCCTATGCATTGCCTACTCGCTCCCACCGGGCACCCCACGCTGGCAGGGTCCCTCCATAGCTCGTCGCCCCAAATCTTCTGAAGGTAAATACTTTATGTGAACATTGTTGAGATAAACTTTCTGTTGCCTGATGAACATTGTTGAGATAATAAACTGACAAGTCCAAAAACATTGAAATGATTGCAGTAGCACCACAACCTTATGACATGTTGAGTTTCCCTCTTGTTTGCTTGTAAGTTGAAAGCTTTTGCTTAGTTGCAGCGATTTCTAGACCCTGCTGATTGCTGGCTAGGGCAAGTATTACTTCAGTGATGATCTAGTAGTATTTTTTTGGATCAGACTGTAACAATCAGTTGTGTGCTTCATAGTTTATGGCCCTAGTATGGAATCCAAATGGGCCCAAGAACTGTTTTGGCCTTAAACAAGGATTGAAGGATAGTCAAATTAGCCTTCTTTTCTTCTTTTCCTCCTGCTAATTTCCGGTGATCTGAATCACTAAAAACTGAATTCATCCACATGTTTCACAGTTTGAGACAGTGATGGTCCTTGGTCCCCTGCAGCTATGGGCATGTCTGACTCGATCGATATCTTGAACTGAATGTTATTGCTTTATTATTTATATATATTCGTCATCCGATTCTGTGGGTCTAATTTGAACAAGGAGATGGTGTATCTTAGCAACCATGTATTCCTACCTTCATAGTTATTGGGTTCGATGTATGTGTGAGTCATGCTGATGCTAGAAACCATCTTAATTTCTAGGTGAGGAGCACCTAGCAGGATCTATTTTCATTGTACATTACAAGTTATTGGTCAATAGGTCTTTGGGGAAAAAATTTCAGCCTCAATAGGTCACGTATGGCTCCAATAGGTAGTGTCTGCTGCTTTAAGTGTGATAGGCTTTAGCTAAGTTAGCTGATAGGTTGTGGAATCTATAGCTAGCAGTGTCACAGGCAAGTAGGGAGATTTAAGTCAGCATGGTTTTCAGTTTGGCTTGTCTTGTAATGATGTTTAATGGCATAGGATATATTAGCTCAAGTATTAGCTTCTATTTGACATGGACATCAGGAAAATACATGTGGATCTCATGTAAAAATATATGCTATTGCAAATTACCCACCTGCGGACCTTGTTCGAATCATCCCGTACGAGTAAACGTCATTAAGTGAAACATCCAACAGGTAAGCATCAAGCTGATCGTTTACTTCTACCCTCCACTTTGATTCATAGTGTAAATTGTTTCATTTTCACTAGCCACCTGTTCTTAGGGTAAAGGAGGTGCCTACAAGCATTTGAAGTTTTCTAGACATCTAAAACAATCATAGCAGCTGCCGTTCATAACTAAGAAGTTATTGGTCCAAGAAACTTGTGAAAGGTAAGATTTATTTAACCAGTTCGTGTTCATGAATGCCTGATTACCTTGTTCCAAGATTCATGAATGCCTGATTACCTTTGCTCAGTTGTCTCTGTTGACTTTTGCTTGCTCAGCTGCTTGCTCAGCCACTACTAGGTTCAGTTTTAGTAGTTCGATATATTTTATTCGATGCAAAAGAGCTTATCTAGTTCTATGATTAAATCCATGCAGCAACCACTAGATTTGTATAGGCGTCGATGTCGGGAGGAGCATGGCATGTGTCTTTGATTCAATAGATAGGGACTCGGTGACATACAAAGACTTCATATCGATTCTCAAGACGTATACATATCGACAATCCTCATTAGCTTATATGTTTGTAGACATACTTGTAACATTCACTTTTGATACTAACAAGTTGTATTTGCTAAAACAATTCGAACAGAGCATTTAGGTTCTATGTCACTAAACATCACGGAAGGCATGATCCAGTAAGGAAGGAAAAGCTGGCTATAAAAACACTATGTGTGGTAAGTGTAACTTACTTCTTCAGTACTCCATTACATGGCTGTCAAAAGCATTACTTAACATTTCCATATGCAAAACACACAGTGCCCCAAGCAGAAGCCTAGGAGTGTACATTGTGGATACTATGTATGTTCTATGATGAGTAACACCGGTGCCTACAGGAGACACCCCTTAAGGGTAAGTTTGAACCTCTTCACCCGTAGTATAAAAACTTCGTACATGATATGAAATACTAAATCGAAACTTGTTCTCTTGTAGTGGAAAGAAGTGAAAGAAATGAAAAGAGACCCATACAAGGATGACTATCTCTTAGAGCTCATCGGCGACCTTTGCAACTTTATATTGAACCAGATTGTACACGTCAAAGACACCTACCATGACCGAGTCTGACTTAGATAGAAATCCTCAATACCAACACCTTCGTGAGACCAAAAGGCTAGCTCTAGGCCGTTGATAACAATGTGTATGAAATTTGACATTGGTTTTACCTTGTGAATTATGTCTATTTAATGATGGATTGTATATATTCTTGTGAATTGGACTTATAATTGTAGTTTATATAATACTCTTGTGCTTGTAGTTTATATAATACTCTTGAACAAACGCGGTTCGGAACGTTGGTCGCGGGGCGTTCGGTGGGACGTTGAGCGAACGCGGTTTAAAACGTTGATCGCTCACTCGCAACGCGAACGCGGAAATACGCGAAAACAAACAGAGCGGTTCTGGTCGAATTTGAATTGTAAATTTGAATTTTTTTTAGTGAAAAACTGTACTGAACCGCCCCTACAAATAGGTATTATAGGGGCGGCCGGTACTACAACCGCCTTTACAAATCGATTTGTATGGACGATTTGATAACCGTCCCCTATAAACACATGATTTGTAGAGACGATTTGGTAGAGACGGCTGGCCAAACCATCCCTACAAATGGTCTTGAGCCGCCTCTACAGATGATATCTCTATCAGTGAATATGACAGATAGATATTGGTCAATTGTATGGGTACAAGTACAAAGACTATCGTAGTCACAAAAAAAAGTACAAAGACTATCGTCGGAGTTGGCAAGGTCATGTACATGGGCCCGCGATATGCGTAAGGACAGATCGAGGCCGGACGTGGGAGCTAACACGGTGACAGTTACGAACATGCATCGTCGTCTCTCACACTCGTCACTTGTCAGGTACACCATAAGATAAGACCAGAGGCCAAGAAATCAGATAGCTGATCCACAAATTAACGGTTGACTGTTGAAGTGACCGGCCAGCATCGATTCCTATTCCTACACAGATTTTTCCAGTTATCACTACATATATACTACTAGTAATTAGCATAGGGTATTATTACTAATGGGAATAATTAGTACAAGTTTCGGTATAAAGATCGATCAAACACCATAAGGAGCTAGATTGCTTGGATCACAAATGGATTAAGACAGTGCAATTCTGCCAAAACCGGACTAGCCGGTATTTCCGAGTTTTGCCCACAAACGCCCTAGGTAGTAATTATCACGCTTCTGTGGTGAAAAACGGCTAGATTTACTTGCAAACCAGCAAAGGGTAACTATCATGCTTATGTAACAAAAAACGACTAGTTTCCTGACATACTAGAAAAAGGAGTAGTGGAAGCTCTTGCTTTGGAGGGACCTCGTTCAGGCAAGAACATCAGCGGGTTATTGTAGGTCAGCTAGCAAGCCTAACTAGCAAACCATCGTTGGTTGTCGAATCAAGCGATGAACAACAACATGAAGATTGGAAGAGATTAGGGCAAAAGAGATGTATAGGAGTAGATTGCTTTTGCATAATTAAGCTAAGTGCATGTAAGTAGTACAGTGTACAACGACCGGAAAATGAAGAAGAGAAAGAAGTACGAAGAAATTGCCGCCTTTGATTGACTTCTGAACAATTAGCGGCATACATGCGTTCTTCATGTACGGTTGGAGGACGGTGGTCAAAGTTTGAGAAACGTTGGCCGCGCGAACCGTACAATAATCACCTTGAAACAATGTTCTTGTTTTTGCTCCCGGCGTTCATGATTTTCCGAGCACACCAGGGCCGCACCAAAGAGACCGGAAACCGTCGCCCAAAAAGGCAACGCGAAAAACTCCAACGAGAAACATAGAAAATGATGAACTGAAATCAGTGGATTTTCTCCAAAAACTTAGTAGATGGGGAAAAAGAAACCCACGACGCGGGCACCAGCGCTGACCGAACGCCTCCTCTCCATTCTCTCCTCTATATATAGCCACCTCCTTCCCCCCGTTGCAAAGCACCACTACCACACGCCTCACAGCTAGCCAGCCAGCCAGCCTCCTCAGTCCTCACGCTCTGAGAGAGGGAGCTCAACCGGTTGGGCTGATCCATGGCGGCGCACGAAGGCACCAACCGCGTGGCGCCGATGGAGGTCACCGTGGAGGCCGGGAACGCCGGGGAGGCCGCGTGGCTGGACGACGACGGCCGGCCCCAGCGCACCGGCACGTTCTGGACGGCCAGCGCGCACATCATCACCGCCGTCATCGGCTCCGGGGTGCTTTCCCTGGCCTGGGCCATCGCGCAGCTCGGCTGGGTGGCCGGCCCGGCCGCCATGCTGCTCTTCGCCTTCGTCACCTACTACACGGCCACGCTGCTCGCCGAGTGCTACCGCACGGGCGACCCGGAGACGGGGAAGCGCAACTACACCTACATGGACGCCGTGCGCTCCAACCTCGGTGGCGCGAAAGTCGCGTTCTGCGGCGTGATCCAGTACGCCAACCTCGTCGGCGTCGCCATCGGGTACACCATCGCGTCGTCAATCAGCATGAAGGCCATCAGGAGGGCTGGATGCTTCCACACCCACGGGCATGCTGAACCGTGTAGCAGCTCCAGCATCCCGTACATGATCGTCTTTGGCGCCGTGACTTCGATCAGATTTCGTGGCTCTCCATCGTCGCTGCCGTCATGTCCTTCACCTATTCTTCCATCGGACTCTCCCTCGGCATCGCACAGACCATCTGTAAGTCCTTCATTCCTTCAATCCGGCTTGTCAAGAAATATTAATTCATGGTGTCATTTCGTTGCTCAGTTCAGTTACTAAACGGTTGTTTCAACTGTTGCAGCTAATGGTGGGTTCAAGGGAAGCCTGACCGGCATCAGCATCGGTGCCGGCGTCACCTCCACACAGAAGGTCTGGCACAGCCTGCAGGCCTTCGGCGATATCGCCTTCGCCTACTCCTTCTCCAACATCCTCATCGAAATCCAAGTAAGCATCAAGACCTCTATAGAGCTCTCCTCTGTTCCCGTCACCCAGAGATTCCCCTGTTCCTAACCAAGTCTGCTCTGGTTATTGCTCAGGACACGATCAAGGCCCCGCCACCGTCGGAGTCGAAGGTGATGCAGAAGGCGACGCGTCTCAGCGTGGCGACCACGACCATCTTCTACATGCTGTGCGGGTGCATGGGGTACGCAGCGTTCGGCGACGCCGCGCCGGACAACCTCCTCACGGGATTCGGCTTCTACGAGCCCTTCTGGCTGCTCGACGTCGCCAACGTCGCCATCGTCGTGCACCTCGTCGGCGCGTACCAGGTGTTCTGTCAGCCCATCTTCGCCTTCGTCGAGCGCCGCGCCGCTGCGGCCTGGCCGCACAGCGCCTTCATCTCCCGGGAGCTCCGCGTCGGTCCGTTTGCCCTGAGCCTTTTCCGCCTGACTTGGCGGTCGGCGTTCGTCTGCCTCACCACCGTGGTCGCCATGCTGCTTCCGTTCTTCGGTAACGTGGTGGGGTTTCTTGGGGCCGTCTCGTTCTGGCCGCTCACCGTCTACTTCCCCGTCGAGATGTACATCAAGCAGCGCCGCGTGCCTCGTGGCAGCACCAAGTGGATCTGTCTGCAGACGCTCAGCATCAGCTGTCTCCTCGTCTCCATCGCCGCCGCCGCAGGGTCCATCGCCGACGTTATGGATGCCCTCAAGGTGTACCGGCCGTTCAGCGGCTAACTTGTCATGACAATCTGATAGTGATAGGTCTAGCCGTCGCTGACCCTATTTCTATCTGAAGTACACACTAGTTCTTGGAATAGGAACGCAGAGGTAGAGTGTTACCAGCATTTTTTTTGGCGCTGCGAGTGGTCCATAATAGTGGAGTACTCCTATTTTTTTTACTTGAGGTTTTTTTTGACAATATATATATATATATATATATATATATGAGTCGTATTTGAGTAGGATTCACGCTTAGATTTCGAGTATAAATATTGGATCCCGGCTATTATAAAAAAATTCAATCAATCAATATCAATTACTTTTTTTGGCTAAACGCCAACCTTTAGGAGTAGGATTAATGTAGATCTCGGCGAGTTCTTCAACAAGCAGGGCTGCATCAGTTCGGCCGACCTCCGGCTTGTCTGTAACTACCGTCATGGCTTATACCTCTGTTTGTAAGGCTGAATCGGTCCGGCCGACCTCTTACGAGCTCTAGTATAAGCTAATTATCGATCCTTATCTACTTTAAGTACGGCTGCATCGGTTAAGTTCGACCTCCACTGCTCGAAATAGACTAAGGTCAAGTTATCGGCCCTACTTAAGGGTGGCATCCTTCGGGTAGATTCATTAAGCTACCGATCTTGCTGATGTTGTTATTGTCATTAGTTTCAGTAATATCAACCTACCCGATCGAGATCGATCTAGATCGGTCTCACAGCCTTTTAGTCCATCGTTTATTCTGTCACATTGCGATGATTCTTACTTTAAATGGAGGATTATGTTTTATCGGCTGTTCTACTTCGATCTTGATCGTGCGTAGTACGTAGTTAAGGCATGCCTGATCTTGAGAAGGTTTACCGGCTAGTTGAATATGGTCTATAGCTCGCTATTATGGATGTAACGATCTGGTCGATCCCCACTATTAGTACTTTAGATCGGAGTATGCTAGTTGGTAGATTTGCTTTCGACTAGGCATGACCCTGGCTATTTGCTATGCCTACATCGGCTAAATAGCCGATCGCCTATACTTTAACGCTTATAGTGTGTCTTAATGATTCTGTTAAATATGAATAGATCTGTTTGCTTTGAAAGGTTTAATCTGTTATCTTTATTATGACTACCATTAATCCGGTCGAATCCTACTGTTAAAGATAATAGATTAGATTCGATGAGTTTATAAATCTGTTCGTATTAAATAGTCGATTGTTCTCATGCTATGATATTTTTTCTACCTGAATCTACTATTTCAGTCGATTCACGTGTGCTTTCACACATATAGCATGTCTTTTAGAAACCTGTCAATGTTTAGATGGTTTTATAGATTCTTTGGATTTAGTTTGTTGTTATCATCATAGCTGCATCGATCCGGTCGAACCTCACTGTTAATGACAGCAGATTAGATTTAGAGGGTTTGTAGATCCATTTGTACTAAACAGTCGATTTTGTTCGCATGTTATATCCTTTCTCGTTAAACTTATCGGCTCAATGCTTTACACCGATTATATTTATCTAGCTGATGATGTTACTTATATTTGGGCACGTTGCATTCGTTACTATAAAATCAATCATGACCCACGAGTGTTACAGTCCTTAACAGTTGATTTCTTCTCGTATCGGCTATTTAGTTGATTTTCTTTTTGGTGCTCCCGAAGCGACACACTTAGAACTGTCTGGATAAAACCGACATGTTCCACCTTAAATTACTGATAAATTTTCTCTCCTTATCAATTGCAGGTCAAATTGACTGGCACGTCCTCGCGAAATTCACAGGGTCGACTGGTCCTGCGTTGAAGTCAAGTGGATCTCCAGCCTTGCTCCATCAAGCAGATCCTTCCGGCTTGCTACGTGTTGACATTTTTATGCCGACACAACCTCAAGCTATATACAGTACTATAAGCCTAGTATAATATCATGCTTCATTTATACATATATCTACTGACATTCACTACTATAAAAAGAATTTTACAGGACACCGCCATCCATTTCAGAGGCGTACATAAAAAGTGCCCTCTCTCATAATTCCTAGACCCCAAGACAAAACCACTCATCTATAAATCAAATTTCAGAGACGAATGACTTAAGAGGTCCACATCTAAATAAAAATCAAGCCATTTTCAGAAGCAAGCCTCTTCAGCCTCCCGCCTCCAAAAATATGTCAAAAGCCCACTATCGGCCCATCAAACTTTGATAGTATATAATCATGTCCCACAATTTCCTTCACATCATTCTCAGCCGCCACCAGAGCCTTTAACCCAATGCAAGCCTCTCTCTCTCTCTCTCTCTCTCTCTCTCTCTCTCTCTCTCTCTCTCTCTCTCTCTCTCTCTCGATTGATCTTGACCTGAGACCCTCCGCATCTCTCTCATGTGACCCGAGCCCTCTGCCTCTCTGCGCCTCCATAGATGCGGTTCTCACTTGAGAACTTGCATTTCCCTCTGTCTCCTTCTCAATGGCTAGCAGCGACGTGCAACCGACCTTCCTACCGGCTACAGCACACTACTCTCCTCTGTGGGCAGTGACGACTCTGGTGCGGGAGGTTGTGGATTCCATCCATGCGGGCAGCTGTCGTGGATCTAGTGTAGGCGACCATGGATCCCGTCGTGGCGACGACGAATCTAGTGCAAGTGGCAGGAGATCTCATGTGGTGGATGTGCCATGGTGCTAAGGGCAAGTACATTGCTACATGTTAGCGGTCTTATACTCCATCTCATGCAATGCCACGTAAGATTTTTGCTTATGTGGAGGAAAGAGAGGTGAGAGAGAAAGAGCCTCATGAGCTAACATTTGGGTCTATGAGACAACACTTTTAGCATTGTATGAGTTGTTGTTGCCAAGCAACTCCCAAGTTTACTTTAAATCTATGCAAAAATTAAGGAATTATGAGTCCGTACGAGATAACTTAAAAACAACCATTGTATATGTTGTCTATTAAGTCGTCTTAAAATTACGTGGAACTATATAAGACCACCTATGAGACAACACCAATGTACTTGCCCTAATTCGACCTTGGTAGACTATGTGGGTCCTCAAAGGGGTGGCTTCGGAGAAGGCATTGCCATGGTGGTCGGCTTGGTCAGGCACTGCTAACGGGCTAATGGCACATCTATCATTCTAGGTCGGTACATGTCCATATCCCCTTTGGCTCCGTCTTCATCGTCCTCACCTCTTCTTCCTATCTCTATGTAGGTTGACGGTGGGGTGGCAAAATTCACAGCTAGTGGAGGCTCCATGATGTCAGGCAGTCACTCGGCTTAATGGTCTCAGTGGCGGGATTGGGAGCAGACTTGACGATGATTGTGGGCTTAGGAGCTGGCTCAGCGATGGGCTCAGGAGTTAGCACTACACGATTCTAGACTTGTTTTTAATGCATTTACAAAGGCGGACATTGTGACTGCCTCTAGAAAGTTTGATTAATAAAAATCAGCGTATAGAAGCGGGTGGTGCACCCACCTCTATAAACGATGTTTTACTGCCTCTGAAAAGCCTTATACATAGTATTGATTTCATTTCATTTCTAGATGTCGTGGTTTACCATCAACTCTGCTGACCAGCATATTTCATGTTTGTTACCACCTTGAAGTTTATCAAACCCGCCACCAATGGGTTTGAAGCCTAAACCACCAAACGGTCCACACCTGGTTTTGAGCACCAAACCAACAAACCCTCATAAGCATGCCAATCTAGCTATAAGAACGACTCTCCTTCCCCGTCCTAACACTTCTGTCAAGATTCTTGCTTGGAAACTTGGAAGTCACACGTCACCTTGTCGGGGGTTGGGCATGTAGAGTCACGAACTCACGAGGGATGAAAATCCGTCCATATTTCTGTTGAGAAGTGGAGGTGTTAGGAGTAATATTTGGAAGATGAGGAGAAAAAGGGAGGCAGCGGATTTTTCTACGAAGTCCATGCGACGAGATCACAAGGATGAGTATACAGCTGAGAGGCTCCCGTAGATGTTTTGTTTTTTTTTCCCGTTTGGGGAGTACTGTCGCTTCCAAGTCAAGTATAAATGGGAGTTTATTTTCAGTGTAAAACGATGATGAGAGATTTCAGTTCCAGAAACTCGTCGTACAAGTTAGACACACGCTACACTGATTAATTTTGCATTTGACTTGTGGAGACAAATAATTGGAACGAAGCGCTTAACATCAAACGTAAGCACAGATCGACATCAAGCACGGCAGCCGGCAGGTCAGTGAACAATGATTCCCGCAACCTGCCAGCGATCCGGCTGACGAAGCCGGCGCGTGAGCTCGCCGGGAAGACTTCTGGGCCCTGGGGCTCTGGCCAGTGCGCCGCAGTCACTCGCGACGCGGACACCCGGCTGACGAGGCGCACGCGCGACGCAGCCGCATGCCCAACCCATTGCTGCTCAGTCATGTGTGGGTTTGGGACTGTGGGTTGCCGTGCATGTCGTTTTTTCGAGGCGTGGAAGTCATGGCGCTGTATAAAATGGCATCAACACGCTAGAGACGATTTTGTAGTGCCATTTTGGCCCCTCGACCCATGCGACCTGCGAGCTCGATTGCTCCAGTCTTTGTACGACTGGGATACACTAAGAATGCTACTGCCAAAAGAGTTATTAGAGGCGAAAGAGTTATCAACTGCGGTCAAAATATGTTAGGTCAGTTTTAATGAGAGTTTTATAAGAGCTTTATATGCATTAAATAAACTAACATGGCATAGTATAAATGAAGAGAGATGATAAAACTTTTATATGATGAAATGAGTTTTATCGGGACAATGAAACTTGTTTATACTATTTCAAACACTTGAAAGTCTTAGAAAGAGGGACATGAAATCTCTAGCCTTAGACGGGCACCTGCTAGTCACTGTCTAAACACTTGTGTTAATTAATTATAAATAATATGTTGCCTCGAAAAATCAAAAAAAAAGGTGACCTAGCACCTATCGACAAGCTTACTACCAAGGTTGGTGTCGAGCGCACGCATCATAGATCGCGTTGTTTCCTCCTCATAGTAGCCCACCACAGTCTCCTTGTCCCGTCTCGACACCATCTCCTTTGTCGCCTCTTCCTCCGAATCCAATCTGTTGCCTCCAGATCTATGAAAGGGAGAGATGAAGGGCACGCTGACTTCCATGGTCCCCCACCTCCTTGCACCGAGCTCAGCCATCTTTCAGCTTCCACACCGCCACATCCATGCATGGCCCGCCGCCTCCTCACGCCACACAACTCGGCTATGGTGGGGAGGTCTGCCACTTCTTCATCTCACCGCGTGACATCCTCGCCAAGCCTGCCACTTCGTCATCTCACACCGCCACATCCTTGCCTGCCCCGCCTCTTCGCATCGCACGACGACTATGGTGGGGAGATCCGTGCATCGCCTCCGTGCCTGACCCACCACGTCCTCCTATACCGCACACACTTAGTCTTGGTAGGGAGGGTTGAGTCCATAACCTGTGGTATGAGGGTGGGGGGAGGGGGCGGCGGTGGAGAGATGGGTGGCACTAGCAGCATTGGGTGGAGAGAAGATGGGTACAGATCCGATGAGCTCATGCATAGGAGGGGCGATATGATGGTGAAGAGAAGATGGGTTGTAGCAGCTGGTGGAGAGGGAGAGGAGTGGTTAGGGTTTTACAACCCTTATAATATATACTGAGGCTAGTAGTGAATCAAGACAGGTCAAATTTCTATTAACTATTAACACAGGCGGGGCTCCCCTTTTTAAGAGATGGACCCTTAAGAGATCCTCCTCTTGTAGTCAATTTTTGGAGGCGGTAGTTTATTAGGTGTCTTCCTAAATGAGTTGTCCTCCTTTGAAAATCACTCTATATTTTTAAAGTTAGAGAGATTTTTATTACACAAATCAAAGTGAAATTACGGTGCCTTATATATCTTTGTGTGAGGACCGAGAAGAGAAGAACTCGTGGTTGTGTGAAAGTGATGTTTGTTCATCCATGTTGGTGAGTCATACTTGTTACCAGACAAAGGAAAAAAGGGTCTACCTCTATGGGCTTATTTTGTACAGCTCACAATATCCATGAGCTGTTGTGAGCTGTTTTTTTTACCAAACACTTATTTCTAACCTCGGCGGCGCCAAGGTCGTCTTCTGCGGCGTGATCCAGTACGCCAACCTCATTGGCGTCGCCATCCGGTACACCATCGCGTCGTCCATCAGCATGAAGGCCATCAGGAGAGCTGGGTACTTCCACACCCATGGACACGCTGATCCCTGCAAGAGCTCCAGCACCCCGTACATGATCCTCTTCGGCGTTGTGCAGATTCTGTTCTCGCAGATACCGGACTTCGATCAGATTTGGTGGCTATCCATTGTCGCCGCCGTCATGTCCTTCACTTGTTCTTCCATCGGACTCTCCCTCGGCATCGCACAGACCATCTGTAAGTTACTGACTTACTGATTCTTCAATCGGATTGGTTAGCCACTTATGCTGTGACCTGTGACTATGATTGCTGGAATTGGTTACTGACCTGTGCTCAATCGATGCAATTGTTTGCAGCCAATGGTCGATTCATGGGCAGTCTCACTGGCATCAGCATCGGCGCCGGCGTCACCTCCACACAGAAGATCTGGCACACGCTTCAGGCTTTCGGCGACATCGCCTTCGCCTACTCCTTCTGCAACATCCTTATTGAGATCCAAGTAAGCTACAATCCCTTATTCTGCTCCACTGTTCTGTCCTCTGCAACTGGATTCCCCTGTTTCTAACAAAGTCTGCTCTGGTTCTTCCACAGGACACGATCAAGGCACCGCCACCATCAGAGTCGAAGGTGATGCAGAAGGCGACGCGTCTCGGCGTGGCGACCAGGACCATCTTCTACATGCTGTGCGGGTGCATGGGGTACGCGGCGTTAGGTGATAACGCGCCGGATAACCTCCTCACGGGGTTCGGCTTCTTCGAGCCCTTCTGGCTCATCGACATCGCCAACATCGCCATCGTCATGCACCTCGTCGGCGATTACCAGGTCTTCTGACAACCCATCTTCGCCTTCGTCGAGCGCCGCGCCGCCGCGGCTTGGCCGGACAGCGCCTTCGTCTTCCGGGAGCTCCGCGTGGGCCTGTTCACGATCAGCGTGTTCCGCCTCACGTGGCGTTCGTGTGCGTCACCATCCCGGGAGCTCCGCGTGGGCCTGAAACAAAAGAATCAGCGTGTTCCTTAATCTTAACTCCCGTGGCGGTCGGCGATAAAATTTTGAGATGACCACCGTGATCGCCATGCTGCTGCCGTTCTTCGGCAACGTCGATACATAACTGGTCACCATCATGATCGCCATGCTGCTCCCGTTCTTCGGCAACGTCACTGTCTAAAAAAACACATCACAAACACGCGTTCAAGCACATCACTAGATGCGTCTGTCATAACGTGTCTGTAATAATGTTTATTATAGACGCGTAAAAAGCGTGTCTGTAATAAGCACACACTACAGACGCGTGTTACTAACACGCAACTGTGACAAAAATGAATACGCGGCTTATGATGAGCCCTTAATAGAGACCGTGAGTATCCACACGTGTCTGCAGTAAGCTCTTAGTGGAGACGCGTGTTCCCAACACGCGTCTGCGTGAAAATTAACGCGATGTCGTGTGAAGAACCATATTTCAGACGTTTATCCTTTACACGCGTCTATAGTAAGAATCCTACTACAGACAATGTTTATAAACACGTCTATGTGAAGAAACATAATGTCGACGCGGGTGCAGTACAAGCATTTGTAGTAATAATCCTACTACAGACGATGTTTATAAACACGTCTATGTGAGAAAAAATAGTGCTGATGTGTGTACAGTACGTACACGTGTCTGTAGTAAGAATCCTACTACAGACGATGTTTATAAACTCATATGTGTGAAGAAATATAGTACCGACGCGTGTACAATATACGCGTATAGTAAGAATCCTACTACAGAATATGTTTGTAAAAACATATGTAGTAAGAAGCATACTATAGGCTCATGTTCTCTACACATGTGCTGTAGTATTTTTCTTACCATAGACGGGTCTAGCTACAGACACGTATGTAGTAAAAAATGCTATAGACATGTCTGTAGCCCACAGCACAGCTAAAATAGCACAGATATACACAGATCATATATATATATATATACACACATATCACAAATATATATACAAAGATCTCATAGAAATGACATATATGTTCATCTCAAAACTTAATTTGTTAAAAGTACACATATCACACACAATTCACAACAGATCGATTGTTTATCACCAGGTTATTCTTACATGTTTATATCTCACGGCTCCAATTGTATCTCATAGGCTCCAAACATATTTCCAAATATATTTCATAGATCAAATGAACATATATAACAGACCCTTCATCATGGTTTTGTATGTGAACAATGAAACTCGCCTGTGTCATCGAGGATCTGCGACACAATAAACAAGGTGAGCTTCTCTCTAATGTCCGCAAAGTTGATTTCAATGGACTGCACTTCAAAATCCTCCTAAGACAAAGAAAGTTAGTCATAAGATGAAGTTGCACATGTGTATAATCATCATCCATAAAATAAAGCTACACAACAAGAGATGACTATATATATATATATATGACAACAGCAGAACCAAAATTTACAAGTAAATATATATAAGCCAGCCATAGTCTACAAAAGGGTCATAGTAGCAGATCACAGCAGCAGCTTCATCTTGTTACAGATCACAGCAGTAGTTTCAAAAATTGACAACAGCAGTATATATGACAACAAGAGAAGATCAAGATTTTATAAGTAGATCACATCAGCTTAGCAGTAATAAATACATATATATTTGCAGTTGTACCTGAGGATCAGTCAGATTGGCCTGTCCCATCGCCAGCATCAAGTTGTGGGCCGTAAAGAACCCACATGTGTGGTCAAGGCCTTACTGCTGGCACTGCGAACATAAGAAACACATGGTTAATAATTGAATTGACAAAATGACTTCATAACCGAAAGTGAAGCACTACTTACTAGAATTTTGAATGCATGGGTCAACTTCAATTTTCTCTGCCCTTTCTTCGGCTTGGGTTGACAATTGCTAAAAGCACTACACATATATAAGTTGTTATTAAATTTTTTGACTTCCACTAACATAATTAAAAAAGAAATACATGGGTCAATAGTAGGTTAGACAATACTCACTCATCTATAACAGATTTGATAAGAGTCAAATCTAACTTTTGCCTCTAGTTCGAGGTATATCACCTTCTACCACATAGCAAAGAATCCGATTGCCCACCACAATTATGTGCAAACATCACAAACTTTTTCTTGGCATATTTAAGCAAATTACGGATAATCCACGATAGCCTTTATCGGTGTTCATCTTTATTGACTTTGGATCTAGATCAATAATGCCAAAAATAGCTTCTACAATCAAGCATCTAGGAATAAAGAAATACAAAAGAGCAAGCAAAATTGAAGAACATCCCTAGCTAAAAATGAAAAAGCCTAGAAAATATATGAAATTGTACTTACAGTGACAACACGTGAAGAAGTCCTACATCCAATCCATCAACTTTGAAGAGATCAAACAAGTCTTCTAATCCCACAACAAAAAACTCAGTGTTTGCCTCACGCAAAAAAAATTTGTTTCTTGAACACAGCAACCATCCCGATTGTCCTCTTCTCTTCATATTCTTTCATATACCAAGCATGAAGAGCAACACACCTAGGTCCTACCGTCTCAAGCTCTGTTTCTAATAGGAATCGCTCTCCAAATTTGAACTTGGTGTTGGACCTATTCCATACAGAACCCCCGTGGTCACTCTTAGATGATCTAGGGGCTTTCTCCACCTTCTCCTACCGCTCTAGTTTATAGTCACTCTTGACTGCTGCAGGTTGTTTCGGTGGGTTAGCTAGAGCAGTTGTGGACTTAGCCTTCTTCGTCTTTATCGGTGGGTCAGCTAGAGCAGTTGTGGATTTCGGCTCCTCCGGCGCTGCATTAGTCTCCTTTGAAGCACTCTTTTCTATTATAGTGCCACTCTTCGGCTTGTCAACAATTGCACTCTTAGAGGTTGCCTTCTCATCGCCTATCACAAAGTCCTTTAGATTGCTTTTGGAGCTCACAGGCAATGGAGGTCTTGATAACTTTGGAGAAGAGAGCACCTTTGATATCACAATCTAGCCTCTCCTCCACTGGACCCTCTTGTATAGAGCTTGTCCAAGAGTTCTTACCTTAGGACTTGTGTGCTGACTCAGTGGTCTATCCTCATGTTTGGATGTACATAGTCAATATGTATAACGACATTATGTTCCATTATTGGTTGTGAACATAGCTCAGTTTGCGCTGGGAAGACCCAACCCCTTGCTACCTCCATCAGATAACCTCTAGGGTTGATTACTAGGCTACACGGTGTTGGTTCTGTTAGAAGGTCCACAATATCTAGATCTAGAGTTGCCTCAAGTCCATCGATGTAGTCTCTTTTGACTACATCCGAGGCTGAGGCACAAGCTACTCTTCGACCACCTACAGGGGTAGGGGTGTTGGAAGGTGACCTCAAATGAACTCCTTGGTCACACAGCATGGCCATGATATCACTTGTGACCTTCTTGGTAATTTCTTCTGTCACTTGGCTTTTAACTTCTTCTTTGATGGCTTCCACATCCACATCACTTGCTGATTGCTTCCTCTTTCTGTACATGCTTCTCTAAAATTAGCTTAGATACACTTTCAGCTGAATCTTTCAACTAATGAATCTTAGCACTTCCTTCTGACCTAACCAAAGTACTCCATGCACGTAAAAAAATCTTTGGTGGCCACCTGGAAACTGGTCCCAAGGATTACTGATGCCTTGGGCGGCTAACTCCCTGTCCTCCTGCTCCCACTTTGTGGCTTTTCCTTCATACCCTCCTATCCCTAGGCAGTGGTCATGCTTGTTCCTCTCCCAAAGCTTCTTGTACTTCTCACTTGTTTCCTTTGATTCTTTGCTATCCTTTAGTTACACAAACGCTGCCCAATCTTTTTTCGGAATGTATGTGTGCTTCACCGTTGCATCCAACCCTTTGTTGATGAAATTGCGTGTAAGGTCGCTTTTGTGGGTTCTCCAACTCTTGGCTACCATATGTATTATCTTCTTACACACTGTAGCCTTCAATTCTTCTAGAAACTCCAACCAAGGCTGGACACACTCATCAAATATAATCATCTTGTCTTGTTCACTTAGTGAATTGAATGAAGGCAGGACCAAGGAGATCCTTTGTCTAGCAATCAGACCAACTAGCCTCCTCATTCTTATATGGGCCCTCTTCTCTATGGGAAACCCAGTCGGAGTGAGCCCTGTGATGGTTACCTTGTCATCTGGCCACCGGGTGACTGTCCCCTTTCTTGTTTGGGGTTTAGGAGGAGGTTCAGATTGTTGTGCCTCTGCATTAGCATCTCTCTTTTCATCCTCTGTAGTACCATCTCCCTCTTGGTTCCTTGCATCCGCATCTCTCTCTTCCTCCTCTTCATTAGCATCTCTGTTGTGTCCCTCCTCTCCACTGTTGGTTGGTTCTTTGCCTTCTCCTGCTGATGATGCCATAGATGCGTGCTCAGATGTCTATCAAACAAAGATGAGCAAGGTTGTTAGTGAACATGGTAGAGCACTGACATCTAATAGTAACTAGTACTAGTATATCACAAAGCTGCATCTTACCATTCTAATAGGGACTATAACAACAGTCAATAGTTAGCAGTGCAGACACCTTTCACAGCACCGTAGAGCCATGTTTGACACATATGCAGTGAAAATAACTACAAAGTAGAGTAAGAGCAAGCATTAGTATGACCCACATAACCAGATCATTAGTTTAGGAAGCAACAGAAAATACAACATATGTAATACTAACTGAAATTCTCAGCTAAGTATGACCCATGAGAGTTTATACTGATCAACAAGCATAAGTAGAGTATGAGCAAGTGTTCAATAATATAGCAAAGCTAGTAGTCTAGATCAATCTTTACAACCCGTTGTGCAGCATCTACATGATAAGACTA